ATTGGTCTTCCTTGACAAGTAAAAAATCAGTGTTTACTTCATTTATTGACTTTAAACGCCAAGTATTCAAGAGTCGGTTTAAAGCGTTTACATTGTTTCTTATTTGTTTTTCGAATTTTCTTGCATCGATAACGTTCACCCTCTTAAGCTTAAGGTGTCGACTTTTACACTTGAAATTTTTTATGAACCAAATTAAGCCAACTTAATAGATATCATATTTATGTGAGCGGATGTGCGTGTGCATGTGCATGTTTACGTTTATGGCACGAAATGCCTTAAAATAAGATTTTTTTGCAAAAAAAAACACCAATTTTCGCCGTTAAAGAGCGTCTTGCCTGCCATATGTTGTATGGGAATAGGGTTAGCCCTATTAGTACGCCAACAAAGATCTAATTTTAAGAAGAAAATAGACTCCGTTTTTAATTATCCTTTTTTTTTATTTCAAATCGATATCGATATTAACGGTTACAGATCAATGCATTCAAAAAATTAATACATATTTGCTTCCAATTATTCCACTTTTTCATCTACTGATGCCGTTTATTCATAAGAGCTCTAGCACCATCGATTCTCGAATACATACGCCAAGTTTCAACTTAATCTTTGCAATGTTTAGATAGTTATCAGCAAGAAAAAACAAAAACAGAAAAACAGGCGGACATAGAAATCTTTGAGATTTATGAGACGAATTTTTGCACTCTTACAAGCAAAATAATAAATTTAGGGGGAAAAAAAACTAAAATACCTTGAAGAGCTCACAATCGTAGTTATATTTAATTATCATACAGAAGACGAAGATTATATAACATTTTTGTTGTTGTTATTATTCTTCAAGTTAACGTAAGATACAGGATCGGTTCAGGATGCAAATGAAACTTGATCGAGCCAACCAAATTTATTAGTTATTTTGATACCCTACATCACTTATGCACTATGCAACATCCAGAAGAAGTAGCCCAGTATCTAAGAGTCGCGACTACCAAGTCTATGTTCGCGGATTCAAATCTCAATGCGGTAGACTTTACTTCAGTCGTCGTAGCACAATAGACGGAGAGGCCAGATATAAACAATACTTAGAGTGATTGAGCACACAATCGCCTTTCCCCCCATCTCTTTTCTTACTCTTTTCCAATTCTCATCACGATTCGTGTCATCGCGAATATATAAATAATAGTAATAATGATAAAAAAAATAATAACCTACAGGTCACAGTTTTTGAAATATAAAAACTAACGCTTTTGAGAATGGTGCGAATTGTGTGTAGACCTCTGCTTCGACCATTTCACGTATAACGTCGCGCTTTTCAAAATCATTACACGAATAAAACTTTATTAAGCGAAATGATGTAAGGTATCTAATGGTGGGCCATGGCCCATGGGCTCCCTACACACTGGTTTTTACTTGCTTTATTTGACAACACACATGTATAGGATTCAAAGAGTAGGAAAACTTATGCACATCTCGAACAATTCTTAACATTTACAAAGTGCAAGAAAATGAAAAAAGATTTTTGAAAATCGTCGAATAATAAATCGCGGAATAATTTTTTTTTTTTTTTTTTTTTTTGCACGTTATCACCTCTGCTTTTCCTTTTGCTGCGAATTTTGTTTGAATGACTTTAAGAAAGAGAAAAAAGTTTGCTATACTGACAGTTATGTAACTATTATTTAGTTTCATTTATTTCAGTTCCATTTACTTACATTACGGAAACAATAAATACTTCACGTTGAAAAGATGAGTAATTAAATGTTTTATTTATTTAACTTGCGAGTGTGTTTCTCAGTTCGTGTTTAAAATTAGAGGTTAACCTAATCACGTTAGTACAGGAATACATTTCCGGCCAAATTTGTATCGCTCGACAAAGTTCGACGGCGTTCGACCGTCACCGAACCATTGTAGAATAATAAGAATATTCTTGTCACGTAACCACAAATTAGCAAATGCTTGCGTCTTGATCTGACAAGCGTCATCGTTCGAAATCGAAACCTGATGAAACTTGATTCGCGTGGAAGAATCGAAACATCTGCGAATTATGATCTTTCCTGCAGATCAATATGTATTCTTGTTTCTCTTCACTTAGAAATTTAGAAATGTGTTTCTATAAATAAAATTTGGAAATGACGAGGCACTCAACAAATCAACTTTATATAACACCCAAAGCATATTTCAACCGCTCAAGTCGAGTCGTGTGAATCTACCGAGATGATTAAAAATCTTTCCGTTCTCTGTAAGATCTACAAAATGCTTCTTCTTCCTTTTCTTCTATGCCACCTCACCTTCTTTCTTCAATTTCTTCTATAATTCGTCTTAATTCAGTTAATCACAAAAAAAAATATTTTATTTCATGGCCTTCTCCTGAATCTGATTGAATACAGATTTGCAATTTCAACGAACGATTGTCATACATCACACATCCCACCATATAAAATGAAAATGCCACTTATGGTAAATCGGTACAATAAAAAAAAAAATAAAAAAAAACCAACAAAAGTAGAAAACGTCTCCGTTAATTAAAAGTTGAAAATCTCATTTCATTACAATCCGCATAATTTTTAATCTTATTTAATTTTTTATTTTTGCCTAAGATGACACTGATAAATCGTTTCTTCTCAAGTTAGCTTCTATGTATTTTTGTACAAATTTTTTTCTTTTTTATCTATTTTCTGTTTTTTTTTTTTTTTTTTTTTCGAAAAAGATTTTTTTCTTTTTTTTCTATATTTATTCGCTAAGCGCTTCAGGAAGTTGTTTCATTGCAATAACAACAATAACAACATTATACTGTAAAAATTACAACTATTAACATGTTTTACAAAATAAGCCGATCATCTATGTATGGTCAATGTTTTCGATTATTGTAGTAGTTGTGTACCCCTACCATCAAAGAATGGGGCGAATTCATTTCGTTATTCCATTTGCAATTATACATGCGAGCAGCCGAATAGGCAAACGATCCCGGCTAACAACTCCATGATCATGAGTTTACATCTCAAGTTCGGTAGAATTTTCAATAAAGGCGATTAGAAGCCTTAGATGCTAGTGCTTTAAAACTTTACGTCTTAATTTAAATTATTTTTCTGGCTAAATTAATTATAATAGTAACAATAATAATAATATATATATCGGACAGATATCATTCAATGTAAAGAGCTTTAAAAATAATACATATATGCATGAAATTTGTAGTTTTTTGAAAACTTCATCATTTTTTACATTGGTAAATAGTAAGAGGTTATGTACATTCATCTATTTTTCCGTTCCGTTTAGGGTGAAAATCTTCACAAGTCATAAAAGTACGAAACTGAAACTTTCGACCCGTGCCAGTAAAGTGAACAACTCTTGATAGTGTGGGGGGATTCCAGATTCGTTCAAAAGAAATAAATAAAACATTTTTACTAATTGTTAATATACCCGTCAACAGAACTAAAAAAGCGTCCATTACGCTGTACATTGTAAAGAAAGGTCTTTGAAATAAAGGTGAAAAATTAAAAATCAGCAAATCCGCCTGATTAGCCGAAGGCGAGGAATTTCGACTAGCAAGTCAATGGTTGTGGGTTCGAATCTCAAGCGCGGTAGAGATTTTTTTAATAAAAAAAAAGCCGATAGCCTTAGATGCTAAGAGTTTAGTCTTAGAATTTATTTCTCTGGCGAAATTAATAATAATAATAAAAATCAGCAAAATGCATCGAGATGAGCAGTTAAATATCGAATAAAAATATTTCTATCAAATATTCCAAAATTTGGACTTTAATAGCCCCGTCCATAGACATATAAAAATCCAACTTCCCTCACATCTGCTAATAATTCGTAATCTTTACTAAGTATATTTTAAAACTTTGCTTAGCTAATTGCTTAGCTATTGGATGCGAACATAACCAAATCTATTATTAAAACTATTGACGGGATTATTGAAATATTTGCTTGACAAATGCTACGATTATATTAATAATACTGTCTAATATACGAGAGCGCAGATGCACCGGCAGTTAAGCAGATTCTTAGCGCTTTTCATCCACGTGTTGTCAACGGATGGGTAACCGAGATTCGCCTCAACGTGAATATACTACAAATTTTCTGACTTGTTTTATCATTTTTTTTTTTTTTTTTTTTTTGTTTTTTTTAAGCGAAATAAAAAATCTTCTATATTGAATAAAGCGGCGTCTAATAGACGGCTAAGGCTTACAGCCATATGTACTACAGATATATGAAATGTATGTTTACGTATATAAATTAATAAAAAAAAAAAAATTAAAAAAAAAGAAAAAGGATAGAAATAAATAAAAAAAAATAAAAATAAAAAAAAATGGAAAATGCCATCTCAAACACATATTATATTGTAGAGAAAGAAGAAGCAAAAAAAGAGTTTCGTGTGAATGCGTAGGTTAGAGAGTTGCTTGTTATGAATAGATGTTTGCGTTGTTGTTGCTGCTGTTACTATGTTATATTCTTTGATAGTAGTTAGTAATGGTAGTTTTATTATTATAATTTTGTTGTGTGTAAGCAATTTGATAAAATTGACTGTTTACAAACATAGCTAATGCAGAAATACAAACATATATGAATGCATTTGAAAGAACAAGCAGTCAAGAAGAAAATTAACAACTTTGCGTGTATAAGATGAACTTTTTACAAAAGAAACAAAAAAAAAAAAAAAAAAAAAAACTAACTGTGTATGTGTATATGGATAACACAAGTCAGTGCAGAAAGCAATTTGGCGCCTGGATGCTTGTTTCTTGCAACGTAGGCTTAACATAATACTTTTCTCTTAATTTTTCCATTTTGACTAACAAAGCATTTCCTTTCACAAAAAAATAAAAAAAAAAGAAATCTAAAACACAACTTAATGCATACAAGCAAAGGTTTCACGTATCACATAAACGTATATACACGCACACACACACACACACACACACATACACATACACATACATACATACACACAAACAAACACACACACACACACATACACACATCCAATTGCGCGTACCGTACAGCAGTGAATGCATGCAATTGCTGTTAGTTACTTTTTGCAAAGTTGTCTTAATTTAATGAATTTATTTTTATTTATTGTATTTTTTTTTTTTTTTTTTTTTTTTTTTTTTATTTTATTCTTTCAAGTCTTTTGATATTTGTTCTATCAAAAAAGCATTAGTGGCGCCATTTAATATCACGACTGTCAAGATTTTATGCAAAATTTACGAAATGTAATTAAGCGTAAGATTCCGTTTGATTTTATTTTCTTTTTTTTTCAGCAACATTTTTGGCAATGTTCCGTTACATTTTATAACTCAACCAAATTGTAAAACATTTAGATGAAAAAAAAAAACAAAACGAAAAAAAAAAAAAGAAAAAAATAAATAGATAACAACAAAAAAGAAGGAAGAAATCTTTAGCTTGCTTTAAGGCAAATTTTGAATGTTCATCACTTAGATATCTTTACCATTAAAATGATTTTATATATAGATCAAGCCAGAACAGTACGTATGATTATGAACAAATACTTTAATGAAGTCAAACGATTTGTTATGCTTCTATTATATATCATAAGCATAGACTTCCGATGACTGTGCTCGAAGAATTTTAAACCATCCATACAGCACGTAGTAACTTAAATGATTTAAATCATAAGAATAACATAAGATTAAAATATCGATAACTGTTTCGAGGCACAAAACGACAAGCGACCTTGAATTCTTCGAAACGTATATATTCAAAGGCCTCTCTCGGCATTCCCTATCTTAAGGAGGGAAAACACCATTTTCACTTACTAACGATCCGCCGCTATAATCCTATTATTGTTATATTTGTTACAAGTTTTAGATGACCTGCACACGGATATCTGCGCAAATATGAGGATAGAATAGATATGCAATACAGGTTCATTTTGGACGAAATTTCATCGATGTTACAGAGGTTAGTTGAACGTAATAGGAAAATAACGAAACCAGCCACAACTATCCAGATTTAAGCAACAAATTTAGTTTTTTTTTTTTTTTTTCATTTTATTTATTTATTTAAGCAATGCTCAAAACATAAAAATCGAAACCTATATCGCTCGCGTAACGAGTCCTAATCGAACTGATCAGTTGTTAGATGAAAATATTATATTCGGCTTGGGCCGAATATTTAGTATCCATCGCCGCCACCCCAAGACAATTGGACAAACTCGTAATTTAGATTCGTATATAATGAGGGGGAGGGAGGGGGTTTCTGCTATAATGAATAGAGTAAATTGTTACATGTTTTTATAAAGAAATGTAAAGTAAATATATGTTTATATGTTAGATATATATATATATATATATATATATATGCCTGAACGCGTTCTTCGGGTCTAGGTAAACCTACTATTAACAAAATATTTCGGATACAAATATGTTTTCTCAGCGCTCACATACTCTGCTGTACTGCTCGCCGTACTGTGATCGACAACATTTTTTTTTCTTCAATGCTTATTTATACGCAAAAATAACTAAAAAATAAACAAAAACTAACCTATGCACTTCTAATGATTAAAAGAAAATAATGACAACTACACACATGCTAAAGGTCGACTTCTCGCTTTCTCTTTCTGTTTCTCTTTCTGTCTGCCCATTGGCATAAAAAGATACCTCAAATTCCTACTTTTAAAAAAAATATGCAAAAAAAAAAAAGAAAATTTAAAGAGAATGATCTAGGCAGCATCTCCTCCACCTGTAGTTTCATCAGCCGGATCAGCATCAGTTGCTTCCTCTTTGTCCTAGGACACAGAATGACGACAGAAATTTTTAAAAGTTTTCATAAGGACTCAACTCAAATGATTACTACTAACCCCTGGTTTATTTTGGACAGTCAAATGAGCAGTCATTGAGACAACAGACTCAACTTCGCAAACATCCTCCTCAGCCGCTGGCTACATGACATCGTATAAAAAGAATTTGATTAAGAATCATTAAAAATTATAAATTGAAAAATTTATACATTTCCATACTACTCTTACCTTTACGGGATCAAAACTGACAGTCATTCGTTTGCTACTAAGACGATGTCGAAAGAAATGTTGAATTTTACGAGCTGCAACATCTTGAAGCACAAAATCGCTTTCTCTTTCCTCTTCGAATGGCTAAATGAAAATTTCAACAATCCTTGCAGCATGAAAAGGTCAACAGATAGGTTTCTAGTATAATATTTTACCTTCGAAGGTCGCTCTTCAAACAACGATTTCCTAAGACTGTAACCGCGATAGAAAGCCTTTCATACAAAGATTATTGATAAAGAAAAAAAAAGCAGGCTATAGCGATGAATTTGTAAAGATCTTGAAGATATAATCTACCTGTATTTTTATAGCTGCGACCGAACGTCTATTTTCGCGGCGACGTTTTTCATCACGTTCCCGAAAATATTGATATAAGGCCTCAGTGCCTTCGGCATCCTGCAAGTATATAAACGATATTTTCTTTCCTATATATATATATATATATATTTTTTTTTTTTTTTTTTCTAATGTGGCGAAAAGGGGTGGAGATTTCGAATTATCTGAATTAAAGAAAGATTCGACTAACAAGAAAAATGTGAGCCAAGGTGTATTAGATCATTTAAAATTAGTTGAGGACATTAATACCTTTCATAATAAATCAATTATATATAGGAGGACATAATCGGCATATGTCCATAAAAACGAAGCTCGACTGGTAAATTGTCATCTTTTGACTTGTCTTATTTACTATTTCGAAATAATTTTTCGCAGACTACCTGTCAAAGTTTATAAATTATATTTCGAATGCTTGCCAGCAATATTGTATGATTTAAAGCGAATCGATAAACACAAGATACAATGTGCGGGCGACATTTACAATGTCTTCCTAATAGTGTACCTATTTTGAATAGCAAATGTCACAATTGTGAGAAATGTTACCTTATGTGCCGTTGCGTAGGCGTGCGCGAACTTTGCGTAAGCGGCTTCAATGAGAGGTTGCGAAATTTTTAGTTCAATCTCAGAGAATTTACATTTTTTTATTAATTCGTCGAGCAAATCGACTTCGTTAAATTTCACGACCTCCCCCTCTCTGCCCATTTCGCATCGACGTTTGGCCAGGAAACGTTTAAAGCAATCTTCCATGGTTGCAATCATCTCTTCGGACTTCTCTTTGGGTATATCACAGATGCACATATCGGCTGCGATTTCGTCTACCGCCTGTAAGGCAGTATCAATTATGCTCTTGGCCGCTGTCGAGCAAAAAAAAAGAGCAATGATTTTGAAAAGTGCATAAGCAAGGAAGAAAAAATGAAAAAAGAAAAAAGAAAATATGAATACTTTGTGCCTTTTCACGTGTAACCATAACTGCGTGCAAATAATCAATAATAAATTGACATAAACATTCACTAGTTGGTTGGCAGCGTAATACCTCACGCGTTATATCCGCAAGAACTTCGGGTAAACCTTCAGGTATAGGTATAACTTGAGAGCGTACTTTACCCCGTTGTACAAGATATAGCATTCTCCGTGTATGTATTTTCTCGACTATTGCTCTCAAATAATTTGCCGAAAACACAAAATTCCTATAAAATTATTTTCTTTAAACAAAATTTTTTCCTAGAAACTTTTTTCAAAGTTGCTATGATTCAAACTAAAACAAGTAAATTGAAAGCTGAACGACAGTGGCCAAAAACAATAATTCGTCGTTTATCCAACCTTTAGTGCAAATTATCGCGTTTCCATCAAATGCATGGGCAAGAAGATTGCTGCAATCTCAAGCTTTACATGTTTTTACATATTTACATCTCAAAAGCTAATAAGAACGTTAAACAGAGATGAAAGTCTAATAATAACCCACAGTCAGCTCAATTCCTTTCAAACTCATTTCGCCATCATTCTTATAACAAACAGTTAAAGTTAGTTAGTCAAGGATTTATATACTTCACGCGATCCTTGCAGTTTCCTTTGCCTTGTTTCTGCGCTTTATCAAGGTAATGAAAACAAACAAAACTTTGATGCACCATAACGTCGAGCAAGCGTGGTCAGTTTTTACCATTTTTGTACAGGTGCTACAGCATCGCCTCTAGAATAAGCGGACAAATTTTTCTCGATTTTCTCTGCTATAGTTTATGAGTAACAATTAAAAAAACAATTTTTTTTCCTTTGCATAACAGAGGTGTTCTTAATTCACTTAATACTGTAGCCTTGTCGTTCAGCCGATTTATCCCATTTTCAATACCTACCTGTGCGTAAGAACCTCCAATGCTTCTGCCAAACTGGAAATCGATCTCTTCATTTTTGCGGTCAGGAGAATGTGTACAACATTTATTATACGGATGGTCAAGTGGACCGATATGTTGAAACCGATTCAGAATTTGATGTTAACCAAGAATAGATATACTTTCTGGGGTCCCTGTTGCTTCCTACTGCAAGTTGCAAACGTTTTCACAAAATGAATGTACCCCTCATCCTCCGTTGGTGTGTATAAAAGATTATTTCTTTCTTTCCCCACAATCATAGGTACGTGGGTGTCACCTATATCGTTACAAAAGGAAAATTGACGAGGAGTATAAGAAGCGGGACAAAGACTTAACCACCTTGAGGCCGATCTTTATTATCGATCACTTGAGATAGCGAAATGCCAATCGTTGGTTACACGTGCGGTTAATAGCGACAGTAACTTCAATTTTATAAAAGAAAACTTAGTCAATTTATTGAAAGCACTTTCCTAATCCTCTCTCACTAATCGATTACGTTTTCTTATTGAAATTTCATATCGAGTTTTTTTATGTGTTGCGAAGATGCTGTGCTTAACAATGCTGTGTCGCAATATTCATCTGCCTTGTCACATTTCTGTATTATTTTGCAACGAGAACAACGAGATTGCGGATCCCAATCCTTTCACCGTACAACTAATGTTTCGTTAATTGCGCAGCTTATAATGTTATTGTAAACGAATTTAAGTATCTTTTCTTCTTTTAATAAAGAATATTATTTATTAAGCGATTGACTTTAATCGAACGTGAAAAGAAAATCGAAAATGGATCAGCAATCTATCTGTCCCAATGTCGATTATCTCGTCAGAGCGAATTCCTGATAGCAAACATTTAAAATTCATTTCTAAACATTGCGTAATGTTTTCTCATCGTTGGCGTACCAACAACAAATACCTATTTCAAAAAATTAATAAAAAAACAAGCAAGAACATTTTAGTCGGGCAGTGTCGACTATTGGATACCATACACCGCTTTGCCTAGTTTAGTTATTCATGCATTTTGGTAATAAGATACCAAAAATTACACATTATTTGCATGCAAAGGCGTGCTTTTCATGACGGAGGATACCCAAAACACCACACTCCCGGAATTTGTAGCATTTTTCGTTTTCCATCAGCGAGAAAACAAACCTACTCTCAATTTCTGAAGGGCCTACTATTTCATTAGAAATCTTATATGGAATGGGATTCAAGAAATAGACGCAGGTGGTTCAAATTTAGTCCACTTGATTTTTACATCGAATTACTATCATGAGTAAATTTTCGTCATAAAATATTAACAATTAGAACTTTTGAACCAATTTTCACCATGAAATATTGAAAATTGCACCTTCTACCGCCATATAGAGATTAAGTTTTCGTAGAAACGGTTATATGAGAGGGAATGCAGAAAGTTACCCCAGCCGAACTAAATGTTTCAATCAAATGTATTATTAATGTATTACACATCGAGTTTTGCCGAAACATTTTGAAAATTGCAATTTTTTTAATGATCGAAAAAGTGGGCCGATGCGAACCATTTTCAATAGCGCAGGTGCTTGGATCAAAGCAGATCGGTATAGCAAATTTCATCAACGTATATCAGAAATTGTGACCTGAACACAAAACCATATGAATATTGCTCTCTTTCCCTGCATCATGATATGTTACGCGTTTCCGATAATCTGTGACGCCAGTTATTCATTGCCTGTTAGAAAAAATAAGACTTCCCTCTTTTTTTGGCGTGTTACCTTTTTTTTAATGTCTACTTACTTCTTCAAAACTACTACCAAGTTAAACTTTCACTTTCATCCGGAAAAGGTAACACTTGACGAATGAGCGGCAAAAAAGTAAGCGGCCGTATGCTGAGCAATATCGCAGAGCTGTTTCCAGTCACACGACAGTTACAACCATACTTTTATAGGTTTCGTGAGTTATCGAGAAGCTTTTATAATGAAATAGATATTGAAAAATTTTGCTCTGACGATGTTGTTCTAGAATACAAAATTTAATATAACTTCACAATAACAATGACAAGAGAACTCTCTCATTAGCGTCAGCCATATTTTCAGCAACATCATTAAGACATCACAAGTCGCAAATACTTTTTCTCTTATGTGGCTTTTTGCGGAGCTTAACAATTCTATTCCATAGTACAACTAATATCGAAACTTTTTCTTGAAACTGTTCCTCAGGAGTATCAAAGTTGATACAAAATTAAAACGATTACAACAAGAATACGCATTGTTTTCGTTTATGATTGATGATCGTCCTATAACTATTGAAAGGTTACACTCGCTACTAAATGGGCGTATGACCGTATATGATGAATTTCAACTTGCTTTCCTAATTTTTGCCGACATGCCTACTGTGCTCGAAAGGTCCCATTGCACACGCGCACATACACACGTACACACACACACAGTATAATTTTGATATTAGGTATGTGAATTATAGCTCGTAATAAAAAAATATTTATATATATATATATATATATATATATATATATTCTGCACAAGTTCACTTTTATGGTTCAACGACCCTAGCATATGCAAATGTGCAAATTGTTATGCATACCAAAACAATTTTAATAACGCTATTAACGGTTATGAGTAGGCGTTTGTATTATTAATTTTATTTAAGTTTTTTTTTTTTTATTTTTTGGTTTGGTTTTTTATTTTTTATTTATTTATTTAGTTTTTTTTTTTAAATAAAAATTAAAACTAATTGTTATGAGCGGAATTTAACAGAAGCTTTAAAAGCATTTTATTCACTCTATAAATATTATCGAAAAGTGCATTTTACGACGTATAGCCAACTAACCAACCAGCCAACCAAATAATTGTTGCTTAATAGCATTAGATAAACTATTAAAAACAAATTACTTGCCTACTAGCCTCCATGTATACGTTTATGTATATGTTTGTGTATAAGTAACGTGTATAACCTAAATTCCAAGTGGGCGTGTATTCGAATATTCTCTATACGTATGGTAAGTGAACATACACCCGAAAGGCAGCCAGTGACTGACTAACTGTCTAAGTAACTGAGTGTTAAAGAAAAAAAAAGAAAAATAAAAAACAAAAACACACTATTCGATCGACTTTCAGCCAAAGAAAATTTGCATAAAATATATTATGTAAATTTAAAAATAATTAAAGTGAGAAATTTAAATGCAACAGTTAAAGTTAAATGCAAAAAGAACAACAACTTTAACAAATATATATGAGCTAAAGAAAAACAATAATTTATAAACAAAAACATATAAATAAAATAAATAAATAAAAAAATGATATATTGTTTTAAGCCGACTTTAGATTCCCACCGCCAGAAACATATTAATTAATGAAAGCGTAGTAAAGAACTATGTGCCATCCAACAATCGTATGAGTGAAAGTTCATGTTTCTCACAAGCGCTGATAAGTATTTTGACTATAATATAAAATCAATATAATTTATATATAACATATAGTTTTCCACCTATAAGCATAAGAACTGGTAACGCTTTGTTTTAAAAATGCTTTAACTAAGCAGACTATGGAAACTCTTAAATTTTTATATAAACTTTTTTGACAAATAACAAGAAAAAAAAAAAAAACTGTGATAATTAAATCATCTGATCGCTGTTAAAGACGCAAACGCAATGACAAATTCAATACGCCTCCATTCCTCGGTACATCGCAAAAAAAAAAAAAAAGTGAACCTAAAACCCCTTTATTCCTTTTTGCTGTTAAAACAACGCAAATCAATTAACACAATTCTATCTTAGAGTCATGCAAACATGTACATGGGTATATATATATATATATATATATATATATATATATATATATGTATATGTATATTTGTATGTACGTATACAAGTACGTATAATTGCAGTTATGTATAAATACAAATTACTGGCGCCTAGATTGCACACGAAAAAGAATTTCTTAAACTATTTCAAAAATGCATACCAACCAACAATATACGCATTTCAAACAACACATCAACAACATCGTAAGATAAAAACAACAAAAAAAAAAAGAAATGTTTATAAATTTCATTTATTTTGTATCGCTCGTCTGTCTGTCTGTCTGTCTGTCTATCTGTCTCTCTGCCTGTCTGTTTGTCTCTTTGTCTTTCTGTTTATACAATTATATAAATTGCAATTTATATATGTGCGGACATAGGTTGCGATCGCTTATCTGCTTTTTCTTATGCTTTCAAGTGACACTTGAGGATATCTTACATATTCTAAATCCATACACACGAGTTAAATAATGATGAAAATTGATTGAGATAGGATAGGAGACAATAAATTTAATCATTGGCAAAAATAAGTAAAAATTTCAAATAACAGAACACATATTATTTTTATTATTATTATCCTTACTGCTATGAATATCATAACTTAACTTTAATTGACTGCTTGCCGTTAATAGGCGTCAATAGGCGATAGTCAATTTGCATAGAGGGAGAGTTAATGGATTAGTTCAATTAAAGTGTAAAATTGTGCCACGGAACGTATTATACAATTTTCAATAAATTTTTTTTTTTTTTTGGTTTTTCGCAAATTGGAACTTTGCCTCTATGACGTTGCATCACAAAATGAGGCAAAAAAACAAACAAATTAATGCACTGTAAGTAGGTCTCTCTTCTTCTTCTCAAATCAATCAATCGATTTTTTTATCGATTATAAAAATCGAATTTAAAATAATTTGATCTAATTTGAGTACGTGTTTTCGCTTTGCCCACAAACATATGTACTTTGATAAAGAAAACCAAAAATGATCAGATTACTGATAGCGTCAGACTGAGAGTAGGGAAAAACACTTGAAGACTAAAGCAGAGCAAAGCTTTAAGATCGCAAATTACATACATATTCTAGTGCGCTGATCTCGTAATTGAAAGAAAAGTTTAGCGGCGTCTTTTAGTTAACTAACTATGCGCCATTTGCCGTTTGCCAATTTTCTGATGATATGGAAACCGTTATGCTATTATTGTAGTACGCCCGATACTTTTCGATAAAAAAACCGAATCAAGTTGTTTTCGCGGCCTGGTCTTTTAAATTAACTTTTGCCGAGAGGAAAACAAATGATAGTAAGACGCAATATAGTTCAGACCATGCAGACCGTGAGTGCATCGAATTCAGGGGGTCTAGCATTGTTATGAGATAAGACGACGTCTTTCTTATCGTCTCAATTATATGGACTCATTACCTCAATTACTCACGCTTTACCCGCATTAGGCGTTGCCAGTAGAGAATGAAATCAATCGATCGACTAGATTGGACCAACTTACAATGCATGATTACTTTGCAAGCCCGCCAAAAATGACATTAACCTCGAGTTTATCATGTTAACCGTCATGACTATCTTATCCGAACATTTTTTCCATATGAATGCCAACTTTTATTGTCATTGCGTCAACGTCTTCAAAAGTGACTAAATTTCGTTTCTTTTTAAGCTCGGGCTACCAAATTTTCTCTCATTTTTTTAAAATTGTACTCGATTGCATTAATAAATGTGAAGAGGTTTTCTTTTTTTCAACTACTGATAAATGCCTTGTTATCTTTCGCACACACTTTACTATATTTCGAAACGTATTTATTGGAGAAAATGCTATCCAAATATATTAAATATTATATGAAAATTTTTGTTTTGACTAAGGGTCTTTGAACCGTTTTTCTTTTTTTTTTGCTTCCCTTTTTCGGACATTTTGTGGTCTGGTCACATTAAAGTCCAGTTGGAACGTCAGTTTGATTCCTTAAAAACAACCGCTCGACAGACAGAAATTTACTCTTTTGTGTAAGGGATCCCACGATGGGCGCTACTTTTGTGCAGCGGCATAATATATTATAATAATATAGTTGCAAGATCAGACGGCCAGTGTTTGGAACGGATAAATGCACATGTTATAATAAAACTAGCTAGTTCGGCAGTAATGAGGGGGTGGGGGAAAGTGGTCTATTTTTTATCCAACAAACAGTCAAGAGACGGTTACACTTAGGAAATACGCACACATAAATCCTTATGGACACAAAGGGATGATCGAAAGTTGCTTACCGGACCGGCTGATGTTACGCCTTGGTCTATTTTACACGCTGCCCTACCTGCCTCCTGGTCTTCTTAGTGCCCATCATATTGCGTGTGAGAGTCCATGAGACCACATGATTGTGTTTTAACTTGACAACCGTCAAAAGTTTTGAGACTTGAGATCTGGTTTCATTTTTCTAGACATACTTTTCACGAATAAAATCATAAATTCGTTCGACGGACAAATTGGCCGACATGGCATAATCAACTTTGCTATTGAAGCTGATCATATGTAAATGAGTGTCAAGGCTCAGCAATATCTCTTGTGAGGGATACGGGATAATAAAATTTTAAATATTTAACCTGGAAATAATTTGTTTAAATACCTTATTCTTAATACGTCATGATGTGTAAATTTATTTAAGTTAAGTAGCTCTCCCTGAAATTTTTTGAAAATACTAAGCAAAGCTATAGAAACACTTTAGTTTCGTTAGTTTCGTTAGTTTCGTCGTAGTTCGTTTAGTTTCGTAGTTTCATTAATTACTCCTAATTATAGTGAGTCATACCACGACGAGACCCTTAGACGTTACTGTTTTTCTTAATATAATTTATTTAGTTTTAATTTTAGTGAGTACCGTGAGTTTCGACATTTTGGCCTAAAATTATCACTTAACCTACAAATTTAGTGTAGAGTAAGTATAGAAAAATACCAGAAGAGATTGTAGATCATTTTTAAAAATGATCGCGCGATTTTGCGCGATTTTTATTTTTAATTATGACAAAAAGCAATGCAGGATCAAACCGGTGTAGCGCATAAAACATGAATAAATGAAATATTGTTTTGATAATCAATTTCTTGCTGTTTGTGCGTAAATTTGGTAGTACTGTTAACGGTATGAACAATGTAGTTAATGTGGCAGTTGAAGTTAAGCTTGGGATTCTATATTACACCGAAATACTTGATTTCACTCTTCCAAGCAAGAACCCCTGAATGAAGATGTTGGTCGATGAGCTAAGATTTACGCTTCCAAGTAAAGAAAATCGCTGCAGTTTTCTGCCCATTAATTAGAATCTTCCACTTTTGGAAAAACCCATCCATTTAAATAAGTGCTGCTTGTAAATTCGCAAAGTCGTCTTCAGCAAAAATACAAGGAATAAAGACTCGCAAAATGAAAACCATATATCCACTTGGTAGTGGGATGTCTGTAGTGGACATATTATACAATATAGATGATAGGCGTGGATAATCTGCATGGATTGTAATGAAGTAGGAACTGAAAGTTATTTGTGGTTTTGACAATTTCGAGAGGAATATTCTGACGAAGCATTTTAAGAATCAGCCCATCACGCCAAAATGCATCGAAAGCAGTCTAAATGTCGAGCAAATCCATTCCAATAGCACTTCTTGAACCAAAGTCTGATTTTAAAAAGAGACGAATCTTGAAAATTTCGCTCATTTATCGAAACAAATATATTTGGGTTGAGACGCGCGTCTTCCGTTGCCTCGGTACGACAATAGACTGCTTTTACTCGCCTTAATCCGCCTGAGTGGCCGAGTAGGCAAGAGTCTCGACTAGCAACTCAATAGTCGTGGGTTCAAACCTCAAGTGCGGTAGAGTTTTTTAATAAAAAAGCCGATAGCCCTAGATGCTAGTGCTTTAAGACTTTAGTCTTAAAATTTATTCTCTGGCTAAATTTATAATAATAATAACAATAATAATAATAATACTCGCCTTAAACCGCCTCTAAACGATGAGCGTAGATTTTTCATCCTTGGCGTTTCCTTCTTAGTTAGATTAATGAATGGCACTATTAGTGGTCAATATAAATACAACTTTACTCGACTCTGACTTATGTTCTGAATAGAATGTGTTAACTTTTTCGTCTGTGATTTTTCGATTGTCTTGCTTTCTTTTTGCACATTTGGTTCGTCTCTGACTAAGAATTTTATCTTTTAAGTGTTTTTGCCAAGTTTTTCAGTTTGATAAACAATGCCCACGGTATATACAACACGTTACGCGTGAAATTCTAAAAATCAAAAAGGAGAATGATTGTAGTATTGGCGAAGCGCGACACAAGTACCGGAGAATAAAGCCAACTGTAAAAGGAACTAACGAAGATAATACCTAATCTGCCATCACCGCGCAACTCCAGCTTAATAAGCCAGT